CAACATCCTGAAACTCAACCCAGAGATGGTCTACCAAGTTATTCCCCTGTGTCCCGGCTGGATCTGCAGGATCCCCTGTGTCCCGGCTGGATCTGCAGCTTAAAAACAGCTGGTGACTAACATGGGCAGGCTGAAGATAAATACAACGAAGGCATATAGAGGGAACAAGAAAAGTCCTAGAAACTACCTAGCACAAGATGCCAATGCCTCAATAGCACAAGATGCCAATGCCTCAAGTAGTTGCCCCTGTTTTGGGAGGGTGACAACTGAAGTAGAAGGGTATGTAAAAAATAAGGAAAACCTTTTCAGGATGCTGCCAGCCTTGATATCGAATGAGCATCATCATGGTTGCAAAATCCTCTAAGTCAGTATTTCTCAGCCTTAGCATCTTTAAGTTTCACAGACTTCATCTCCCAGAATTCTCCAGACAGCGCTGAAATACTGATCTAGATTGCAAATATTCTAAGGCAATGGTGAAATTCAATTCTAGTTCTATGGGCATGGCTTGGTGGGTGTGGCCTGGGAAGGATATTGCAAAGTCTCCATTCCCACCCCACTCTGGGGCCAGCCAGAGATGGTATTTGCTTCTTCTCTGAACTACTCAAAATTTCTGCTACCAGTTCTCCAGAACCTATAACAATCTGCTGAATTTCACCCCTGTTCTAAGAATGGCATGATTTGGATTTTGAGTGGCGTCATTTTGATTCAATGGCAGAAGAAGAATCAGCAGAAAAATAAGATGGGGTGTCATCAGGCTTTTTCTTTTGAATTTTTCTTTCATTGAACAAACAAAACTTCAAAGTGAAAGATTCCACATTAAAAAAAAATGTAAACAAAGTCATAAAAGCAAACAAGCGTACTTTCTGTTTTTAGATTCCCTCTCCCTCCGCCATTTGAGGAAAATGAAAATGCATTTATTTAAATTCGAAAAAGATTCCCCACAGTTGGCGTAGCCTCTTTTCAAAGAACTCACTTGCATAATCCGAATACCATTCCCAAACAACCATCCTGAGGAGTACTTTAGTAATCTGGATCTATTTATAAAATTAACTATTACAAATGAAGTGAAACTCAGCCTCAAAGACAGATTCGTAAAGCTCTTAAAGTCATCTCTGTGCTTCTAGGGGTACTGCAAACTATGAATTATTAGCCTGTTTGCCATGAAACAGGAGCTGTTTCGGAATGGCATTATACACTTTTTCTGCAGAGCATTTCAAGAAGGATTTAAAGCTACACACAAAACTCTGTTGGTTGCCTTTCCTCTCACCTCCTTCCAAGTACTGTATGGAGGGTAGCAGTCTAGCATAGGCTTCAAGGGAGAAGTTTCGTCTCATAAAAGGACCCCTTTTTCATGGGGGAATGAGTCAGCCACACCTGTATTTGTGGGAGCCATTCCTGGAACCTCTTGGCTCCCGGCAGCCGGAGGTCCCACTACAAAGGCACCCCAGGGAGACAAAATAGTTTCCAACCGAAAACGTCCCCCCAGGGCGGCAATTAATAACATTCCCTGTGTTCAAAGGGAAGGCGAGGCCCAGGCACGGAGGCATCTTGTCAGGACCCGGCCTGCTGCAAACAAGAGAACCACAACTGAGAGGAAATGCCTTCTCTTGAGGGGGATGGGCATGGGACTGGGAGATGGGAGCTGCAGAGAATATGCCACAATTTCTGCCCCTGGGTCCCTGCAGGGTCCTCTGCCCAAGGGGAGATGCCCATGATAAAAAGGAAAGCTCTAGTGGATGGCCTTGGGACTTACAATATACAGTGGCCTCACTGCTCCTTTCTTTAAAATGTCTGTACAAAGACAGCAAAGTTATATCTTTATTTTGGGGGTCAACTGGTAAACATATATCTCTATTAGGCTAAGTCAGGGATCAGCAACCTGTGGCTCTGGAGCCGCATGTGGCTCTTTCATCCCTCTGCTGCAGCTCCCTGTTGCCAGTCAGTACCACAATGTTGAGAACA